ATATATATATATATATATATATGTATACAGATATATATTTTTTTTTACAAACACATCTTACTGTTTCTGTTGGAAAAAGTAAAATCAGACCGTAACAGTGAACACATCAGCTCACTCGGACACCTGGTCTACAGCGATCAATCCTCTTTGAGATGAAAGCTCTCAGGCCAGTGAGTGGTCAAATACCTCTTTTCCTCCCATCTTCCCAGAGTCACTGGTTTGAGCCAAGGGGCCCCGATGGCCCTGGGCTGTAATAGCCGCATAGGTGCAGCCATAGATGGCAGCCACCAACATCATGAGACACACGATTCCACATACAACCCCCGTGATGACAACGGTGGCCACGGCGTGGCGCAGGTTGGTGGGCCTTGGCTTGGGTTTGACCTCACACGTCACAGGGTCTCGCTCCCCAGAGATCTGGTTCTCAGGAGGCTTGGGGACCTCCCGGTGGGCAGTGCCATGCTGCTGACCCTGTGAGGGCACCAGATGTGGAACAGGAAGAGGACAGGGCTGGTACAGCTCGTGAGGAATCCTAAGGAGATCCTTCCCCTTCCACATATCAGGTGACCCGCAGATGACACCATCCATTACTCCCCCTTTAAAAAACAAAAGCAGAGAATGATAACAGAACCCAGATACAACTGTGGTCCAAAATCTTTAGCTTAAAAAAAAAAAAAAAGGTAGGCAGATGGAATTTATAAAGTATCTTTATAAACTTTTTTTTTCCCAGAGTCAAAGATTTTAACAATCATACTTTATGATTTTAGGATTTCTAAATTAGCTAAATGCTAAAAATGCCACACACTAAATTGGCAATTACATATGACCCAGAACTCATCAGAAGCCAAGTCACCTTTACATCATATAAATGCTGACGGGGAAAGACAATTCCAAGGCTGACAAGAAGGGACTCCCAGGGCCGACACCAAGGGTGCCATAGCCCTCGGCATTCCTGCGGCCAAGCCCCTAACGAGCCCTGAGCCCTGCCACACAAGAAATCTTTTGTGCCAGATTCCTATTATAAACCTAAAAAAAAAAAAAAAAAAAAAAAAAAAAACACACACAGAACAAATGTGCATTGTTATGATGCTGTGTGTTGATCACTGAGATGCCAGGTGTCTCCCAACTGTCCTCAGTGATGCCAAGGGCAGTGGTGGCAAGGTCCTTACAGTGCTTTGTGTATCTCGGAATTTGCCAATACGATTGGTTTCGTTCGTGGGATTAAGTATAATTAACCTGTCTCCTCAGGCCTCGAAACAGTTTACTACTTTGAGTACCGGATCTTCCAAAGGGTTATTAAGTGCACTTTCCATTCCCCACGAGGCAGTTGATTTCCTTGGGTGTGTAGACTTCTGAATTTGGGGGCGGGGCGGGGGGGTTCCATTGCTCAGGAATTCTCTAGAGAGAGCGCTGGGTTCACACACTTCCTTCTGGACGAGGTTGATCACTGATTTACTGAAAAAGAACTTTTTTGACGAAATTCTCTGCCGTAAAAGCATCAGATTTGTATCCGACTTGTTAGTTTACAAAGCACAGATGGGTCCTTACGCTCCTCTAGGAGAGGAAATTCTTAAGCAAACTCATGCAGGTCCTGAGCAGACCAATCAACATCTAAACTCAGTCCTTGCCCATCATTCTCAAGTTTCCCTCACCCCTCTCACTGTCCTGCTCTACTTCCTCCTCTCTGGAGAATCGTGAGGCCAGGGCAGTGGGCAGGAGAATCCTCATAAAGTCCTTGGACGGGGCAAAACTCTCCTGTGATCTGTGACTCAGTTCTCCCAGCCTGCTATAAACACCTCTCCCAGGAGGACTCTCTTAGCCAAATTAGATGGAAGATTCTTCGCACAGATGGTTGGTGGATTGTGAAATTATGGCAGACCTACACACATGGAGGTCATTACTTCAACTTATTAGCACCTGCCATCACACAGCCCTTCAGAGTTTGGGAATGCTTTCCTATCCATCCTACCTAAGCCTTTTAATGCAAGCCCTAAGTGGCCCTGTAAGTACATAGGACCACTCCACAGTGCAAGAGTTGTCACGTGGCCCAGGCACATCAGGGTGGGTGGCAATGGCAAAATTCAGCCTGTGCCCTTTCTGCTGCCATTGCTTAAACCTGAATCACCTACCGCCAGGATGTCTCTAGCCCCGCCCCCCTGGCTTCTTCTGTGATCCCTTGAGGCAAGAGTTGAGACTCTAAAGCTAAAAAGGTAAAAGAGGAATTTCTTCTTTTTCCAAGCTGTTGGTTCTCAGGAGGCCAGAGGTACGGGGTAGCCACCCAAGGTGTCATTCAGCTGCACTGTCATTGAAGTCTTGCCATATAGATCATTGCATTTCTGTGCACCTGGCCATTAGAGTCTCTCCCTGGGAGTTTGTTGCGAGGAAGAAGGCCAGAGAGAGAAATGAAGAGCAGGGCTCTGAGAAGTACTAAGTACATTTAACCTGGCCAAAGAGCACTGATACTTCCACCAGGGGACGAAGGTCTCCTGCCAAGAGCAATTCCATCAGCTAACCTATACCTAGACCAAGGTGATTTATTTAATGATTCCACAACTGGCTTTCTCTAGCTTCAGTCTTCTCAATGTTCAGTGTTAGAATGGGATCCACATCTTGGGACACAGAGGCAAGGGAATACATAGACTAGAGCCTAGGACTGTGGAAGGAGCCGTGACTCCCAACAGCTACATGGCCTCCTATGCAGCTATATCTCCAGCCAGGATCTCCCTCGCACCCTGTCACCCCTATCTCAGAGGCCATGACATCAGAGACAACTCTGCTGACTACAGCATGAGGAGCTTACCCGCTTCTAGATTTATATAAGTTGACAATGCAAGAAGCTCCAGCTTGCCATGAGCACACTGTCCCCCACCTGACCACTAGTGGCTTTCAACCTCTGTCTTGGAAAAAATTGGATTCAGATCTCAAATCTGCACATGACTTAGTTATACAACCCCAAAAGGTCTTTGACCATACCGTGCCTCCACCTGTGCTTCTGAAAAGTGAGAGACGGGGAGAATAATGAAATTCGCTTCCCATGATTGCTCTGTGGGTTCAGTTGGATAAACCATGTCAAGTATTTTGCACCATACCTAGTCTAGAGTCAGTGTTTAATAAAGTTAGTGATAAGCATTAAGATGGTTTGCTTACTCGTAAATAAAGAGGAATAGTCAATGTAGAATCTATGTGCACGTTTTTGTGGAGGAGATATGGTTAAGTATTCATCAACATACCTCTTTTGCCCTTAGGCCCGTACTCTTTGGGGTCATTTTGGGGCCAAGTGACTGAGTTCCACCTAATGGAACCCATGAATGCCATTTCCAGGAGATGACATCTCCAGCATGGTCTTACGTGGGTTTTGTCCCCTTTAGGTGGTGGTGTTGGAGATTGTGTGGTGAAGTTGGCCACATCGCAACCTAAGAGAGGCTTATATCCCTGAACAATGCATGGAAGGCAGACCCTGTCCCCAGTTCTCTTGAACCCTAAAATGAGTGAGCAACAGACATTTTCTTGTATAAATGACTGAAGTTTGGGGATGTCTGTTAAATCAATTAACACCTCTGGGATTGCTTTGGTTTATAAGGATATTGATTAATATCTATTCCTTTATTTTGCCTTTATTCAATGCATTCATTATATGACTTTCATATTTAGTATCAATATGGATTTTTTTCTAGTTATTTTGGGACATCCAGATTTCCGGTGCCCCCAAATGATTTTTCCTTTCTCTGACACAAGGCTGATATCTATAATCCTGTGCTCTGTCACGAGGGAGGGTGAACTGCCTCACTGCTTCTGAGGATCATCATGGGCCTTGATACTATCACTTTTCATCTGGTGACACTGAGCACTAGGGAACAATATTAATTTTCCCAAAGACCACCAGCAAGTTTTGTGGTTGAGTAAGGAGAACTTCATCCCATCCCACATTGCTTCTAACATCCCTGGCCTGGGAACTCTGGTCTAATCAAGAAATATTCTTCTTTGATGAAAAGTCTTTTGTGTGATGGTCTGGTATATGCCTACGATTTAATCCAGAATACAATAGCTCAAGCTCCTTACCCCCAGCTGTAATTAGTTGCATTTGAAACATCCTATCAGAAGGAGATTGGCACATGCTATAGCTCCTGTTGTCAGTTAACTGGAATGTTGGCTGGTGACTGAGATGTGATTTGTTATTTTACTGTTGAGATGCTTCTTAATTCGGTATTGTATATTTGAACTCGAGCTGTTTTCTAAGTTGCCTTCATCTGTGCAATCCAGATGCTATTGATTCTTTAATTCATGTCATATTTTCTTGAGCAATGGGCTCAAATCTACAACCCCTGACCCAGCTCCCCTTGGATTTGGAATGGGTGTCTCCAACATGCCCCAAAACCAACTCTTGACTCTATGCCTCCCCCTTCCTCACTTCCCCCACTCCCAATTTGCTAAAGGCATCACCATTTCTTTGGCTATCCCTGCACGACAAATGAAATAGAATTTCCCATCCTTAGACTCTTTTCTTCATCTGCCACTCCTCCTCATTAGCCATTGCTAGCAGTTTAATATTCCAGGTGTCTCCCAAAGCCTTGCCTTCTTACCACTCTGTTTGGGGTCACTATCATCCTCTCCCTGGCTAACATGATTCATCTTCTCTTTTAAATCTCTCTGGCTCTTCTTCTGCAGCTTTTGGATTGCTTTTACTAGACTCACCAGAGTAACCTTTTAAGTTGTAATCAGATCATATTGTTCCCCTGAATAAAATGCAAGGGCTTTCCATCTGACCTAAAATAAAATCCCAGGCCCAAGGTCTGCTCTGCACAGTCCTGCATGACATGGTCTCTGAGGACATGCGTTGCCTCCTCTCTGTCCCCTCTGCCACAGCCTGCCTCTGTTCTAGCAACTCTCTGGTTCTCCTTTTGTCACCAAACTTGATGTCCTTCGCCTAGTCATCTCCTGGCTCATTCCTCCTTGTTTTGATTCTTTTCAGCCATGTCACCTCCTTGGAAAGGACTTCCCTGCCCATTCAGTCTAAAAGGGGGCCCCCTCCCCTCTTGCTCCCTCTGCTTCCCCTGCCTCATTGTCGTCTTAGCACTGCCACCTGAGCATGCATCGTTACTCATGGTCTTAATTAACATCCATTCATACTACTCTACATACTCTAGATACTAGAGTGACACTGAGCACTAGGGAACAATATTCTTGTTCACGGCCCTTTTCTCAGAGCCCAGAATGGTGCCTGGGATATAAAAAGCATTCAAGTGTGGGAATCAATGAATGATGTTCAGAGACGCACTATGGGGTACAGGAAAGAATGTAGGGCCAAGAACCAAAGTCAGGCTTTCTGTTTTCCTCTGTGCTTCTGCTCTGTGATCTTGGGCAAATCACGGAACCTCTCTGGGCCTCTGTTTCCCATTGATAACAGGGATTTGCCAAACTTCTATTAAGAGCCAGATAATAAATATCAGCTTTACCAAACAGTCTGTCATGACCACTTAAACTTGCCCTTAGAGTGCAAAACAGCTGCTTAGTATGTGATGAATAGTCATGGATGTTGGCTGACAAAACTGCATTTACACAAAGAGAAGAGGGACTGGATCTGGCCTTAGGGCTGTGGTTTGCTAACCCTTGGGTCATTTCCATAGCAGCGCCCCCCCCCCCCCCCCCCCCCCCCCCCCGCCCATCTTTAATATTCTGGGATCTCTTGCTTTGCTTTTTGACATCTGGTTAAAGAAATAATGAATAACTTTAGAAAGAGGTCATATTGCACCCAAGTTTAATAACAGTAGTACTTACTAAAGCAGAAAGAGATTCTTTTAGGGAATATTTTCACCTGTCAAATGGGCAGAAGCAAACAAAGAGGGGAAAATATCCCAAAGAGTGATAACCCTGTCCCCAGTTGGATCATACTTGAAAATAAGAGTTTAGTGCCACTTTGGGGTGAAGCAGTCACTCAGGTGGCAATTGAAGTCCCTCCTTCCTATGGACATACCTGCCAGAGAAGTAATTTCATGTTATATTAATCAGACAAGTAGAAAGTTGTCTCTGTGCATTATATTTGTAGATGAATATAAATAACCTGAATTTAAATACCCTCTAATGACTCACCTACCTTTTTGCCAAACCATGAAATGACATCAATGTGAAAAAAAAAAAAAAAGCTTAAAACTGTCCCTTGCACTCTCCTCAGTGTATCTGCTAATGCAGAGAACAGATGAGGTTCATCCCAGGCTGGTGACACACAGCTGGGGCTTTCCAAACAGACGTTACTGACCTGCATAGATAAATTTCTCCAGCCAGAGTTTAAGACCCAGCAAGTGGCAATTGCATTTCCAGAGGTTGTCCTTGAGAAATAACAGCCTCAGGCTGGGCATGGATTCTAGGAGCCTGCGATCGAGATAGTGGAGCTGGTTCTGTCGCACTTCGAACAAGGTTAGGTTCTCCCAAGGCTCAGCCAGCGAGGTGGGAAGATGGCTGATGTTGTTGAATGACACATCGAGCTCCCTCAGCTGCGGGAGGGAATGGAAAAGTCTGCTTTCCAGGGAAAGCAGGAAGTTGTGAGTTAGGTTTAAAACGTGCAAGTGCCGAAGTCCATGGAAAACTTCAGGGGCCAGATGTGAGAGAGAATTGTTGGACAAGTTTAAGGTCATGAGCCGAGGAACTGACCTAAACGCATGAGCAGGAAGATGGTGTAGCTGGTTATCTTGCAAGAGCAGCGTTAGAGTCTGAGGAGGCAGATCAGGAGGGATTTCAGCCAGACCCCGGTGACTACAGTCTACAGAGTTTGAAGATGAGTGACAGATGCACTTCTCTGGGCAGCCGTACACACCCTGGCGTGGGAAAATCACACTCAAAAGCAGTAGCAGCTCACCTAGGACAAACAGAAAGAAAGTGGGTTCTGGGCTAGTGTTAGGAGAGAGATCTGCATGTATGTCCCTTTTTTAATTCACAGGTAATGTGATTCTGAGCCAGATAACACCTCCTGCAACCTAGATGACAGGCTGTGTCACTCACCTTTTGAGTAGGGTTGGGACAGACTGAGTACATCCTATTTCACACCTTGCTAATTATTGTCAGTAGCCTTGGGAAAGATACTTTCCAAGTGCTTCAGTACCCAAATGGTGGAAAAATAGAAAGGTGAAAAAGAATATTTTGGTTACACATGCCTTTTGTAGGACACAGCTGCATCATGTGGGGCCAGACGTGGAGAAGAGTGACAGGCCACTGCATCCAAGGAACTGAATATCATTTTTATTTCATTTTAATTAATTTTTAAATTGTACCCTGTAGCTAGTAGTTACTATATTGGGTAGGGCAGGTCTAAAGCATTCTTTCAGATTGACGTTCGTCATGGCAAGTGTAATCCTGAATGATCATCTCTGCTCTTTTTGTATTCAGGAGATTTTCAAAATACAGAGAAGCATTAAGAATAATATCATAATCAGGCCGAGCGCGATGGTACACGCCTGTAATCCCAGCAGCTCAGGAGGCTGAGACAGGAGGATCATGAGTTCAAAGCCAGCCTCAACAATGTCGTGAGGCCTTATGCAACTCAGTGAGATCCTGTCTATAAATAAAATAAAATAGGGTTGGGGATGTGACTCAGTGGTTAAGCACCCCTGGGTTCAATCCCTGGTACACACCCCTCCCCTTGCACCAAAAAAAAAATAATAGTATCATAAGCATCCATGTTCCTGTAACAGTTGTGCCTGTCATTTAGATTTTCATACTTACTTTATCCTTCCCTCACCATAACTGATATATCCCTCCAGGTATGTTAAAAAACAATATTTAATAATTAATAAATATTTAATATTAATATTTAACAATGGCACATATCTGGGGCCAACCATCATTCCATATGCTTTATATACATCAATTCGTTCCTATAACATCGTTAAGTATGGTTGTACTAATTTCATCATTTTAAAGGTGAGGAAACTGAGGCACAGAGACACCAAATCTCGTACCCAGGATCACACAGATAGTAAGTAATGGAGCCATGATTTGAACCCAGACAATCTGCCTGCAAAGTGTGAGGGTTCTTATCTGCTCCACTCCAGTGCCTGTCAAATACTTTTTCATGCACACACACTCATTTGCATTGTGGTTTCTAAATATTCACATAAATGGAATCATCAGTCTGACTCATACTAAAGTCTGTCGTCTTCCTCCATGCTGATCTAGCCACTTGGATACCTAGAGAGATAATTCATTCCTTTTAACTGCTATCGAGTATTCCATGGTGAGATCGTTTCAAATTCAATATTTACTCATCCCTTTTCTGAGGGGCAATTGAGCGGCTGCAATATTTTTTTTTCCCCTTTCATTACAAACAATGCTGCAAAAAGCATCCTTGCCTCAGCACTCTTTGGCTATATGGGAATGTGAGAGAGTGTCCTTTGAAGGGGAGAGAGGATGCCAGTTTATATTCTTAGATTCTCTTAGATTCTTCTACAAAGTTGCTATAACACTTCTTGGGTTTTTTTTTTTGTTTGTTTTTTTGTTTTTTTGAGACTCAAATTTCAAAATATGGCAAACATCTGTCAAGGGCATTTTGTCAAATTGGTAGAGGAATTCACAAGGCCACATGATGATATTCGAAACTTAAAAAGAGTGATCTACTCCTATTGAAAGTTCTTGATGGAGGTTGTTTGTTTGTTTGAAGGCTTAACTAAGGAAATATACTATGTGGCCTTCCCAGGCTCTGCAGCCTGCTCCCTTGTTCTGAATTCTCTCTCTGGAGCTAACAGTGCTGAAGGCTCATAGGAAGGAGGCCCCGGAGCCTTCTGAAAGAGAAGCTGCTCTGTTTAACTTAATTCAAGAGAGGTAGGATGTCACCATCCTCTTCCCCTTTCCCAAACATAAAAGCACAAAACCCTTGTTCTCCTTTCACCAATTTTGCAGGTAAACGAAATGACTCCTTTCCAAGCCAAAATATCTTCCCATGAGAAACAAACCCACACCCCTCCCTTGAACTGTGGGCCTCAAACATGACTTAGCTGCAGGAAATCAATTCTTAAATAAGAGAATATGTTTTCCACGGAATCTGCTGAGCCGTTAATGAAGGGCTTGTCTTTCTGAGATTGGAGCCAGTTGGTTTATTCTTCCTTTGGCTCCAACCCTCTCCCCCAAAGGGAATAATATATGAACTCAAACTGCCCGCACCATGTTTTCTGTGAAATGACCCATGGCATGCCCAGCGCACACTCACATTATGGCCGCATAATTTTGTCTCCAGTCCCTTCCTCTGCACCCAACGTGGTGAAAACATAAATCTTCCCCTTCGGAGATATTTTTTGCATATGTCCGATCTTTTAAGGAAGACGACTTGAAAATAGATTTCACTGGACACCTTTCTGAGGGGATCCACTCCCTCCCTCCCTCCATTGGAAAACTCCTCCAAGGGGCGACAGCACTCATCCATCACGGCTCACCTCTCATGGCTGCGCCTCCACGGGGCCAGGGTCCTTGCCGATCACGCAGCCCACCCTTATTAATTTGCAGATCCACAAGCGGAGGGCATGGCAGAACTCGGAGTTTTCATTCACTTCTTCTGAATCCTGCTTGGGCTTTTTCTTCGATGCTGAGAACAGTTGTCGCTTTCACAAGACCACTTCTTTAAGCAGCCTGTCCCCTTGTCTCCATCTGGCTGGGATCGGTTTCCATAAAAGGATCTTTTGATTGTGTCCCCTTCTTCTTTCTTAAAGTGTCGACCTCCCCGAGATCATCCCTGCCTTTCCCATTCAGACCCAGAGCCGCGCGTAAAGAATGTTTGTCAAATCTCGGTGAACAGCTGTAGCATTCAAACATGACCCCGATGGCTCGGCCTTTTTGATTATTTAATCTGCTTGGAGTCCAGGGCACCAAAATAAAAACGGCCTCCTTAATCCGGTCGTGGCTTCTGAATTCTGTTGACTTATTAACCATGCTGTGTCCACCTCATCGGGTTGGCGGTGGGGGGAACGCTCGATCTGGGGGTCTAGCAACAGAGCCAGCAGAGTGTGTAATATGAGGACAAATTGGCCTGCTGGAGGCTGACATGGTTTCCACAGTGCGTTTCTTTGGTCATCAGAGGCTTATTCAGCCAACATCCGTAGGGATTAGCTGTGTTGACAGGATCTTGATGCCCTGAAATTCATAGCCATGGTTTCCTTGCGTGGACATCGCAACCTCTTCCCCCACCCCTCCGATGCCACAAATACTTCTCAGCTGCCTGCCGGCTCCCTCGCCCCCGCCCCCCCACCCCAGCCCCGGTTGAATTGACCTGTGGGTTAGCATGACTTTGGAAATCTCAATCTTTCATCGTTTCCCTGATGCCAAGGGTCTGGCCCTTTCCTCATTTTTCACATGTGAAACAATAAAGCCGCCTGTGCGCATCAGACATCAATGAACTGTGACGTTCTCTAACTGAAGCTGCTGGGAACTTTCCCACCAGGGACAGAAACTCTTGTCTCTGAATGTGCAACTCCCCTGCCATTTGTTGAGGTGGGGTTTTGATGCTTGAGGTTGCTCTCCTACAACACCCCAACATGTTATGAGTGCGCTCTGGGACGCCTTTCATGGAGGCCATAAGAACTGGGATCTCTGGCCCCAGGCTGTGAAGTGGAGCCTTTGCATATGAATTTGGGAATCAGATGGGCCAGGATTTGACTAGTCCGCTCAGGACCTCATCTCTAACATGGGGATAATGGTAGTTTTTATTTCACAAGATTGTAATTAGAATTACCTAAAGCAATACATGTCACAGCCTAGAGTGTGCTCATGAGTATTGATCAGTACCCATTAGAGTGCTTTGCAGCACTTCCCAGCTCCTGGTCTTGACAGGGATCAGCCCTGAAGCCTGCCTGGTGCTACAAAGGCAGGAGGCTCCCTCTGAACAGGATTGGATAGTGACTATTCTTAATAGCCTGTTCCTTGGGGACTATTGTCTCCAAGCCCCTTCCCACAACCATGCTATGTGGCTAAATAAGGATGCCCATTTTGGGGGTTGAGGGTACCAAGATTGAACTCAGGGGAACTCAACCACTGAGCCACATCCCAGCCCTATTTTGTATTTTATTTAGAGATAGAGTCTTACTGAGTTGCTTAGGGCCTTGCCATTGCTGAGGCTGGCTTTGAACTCGTGATCCTCCTGCCTCAGCCCCCCAAACTGCTGAGATTACAGGCGTGTGCCACCATGCCCGGCTAGTAATAACTTTTCCATGATACATGACCATCAGTGGCTCACCTGTAACATAGTCATTAATTCATAAGAGCATAAAAAAAAAAACACCTATAAACTTAATGTTCCCTTTAAGAACTTGGAAGTTACCCCTCTACCTATGTGACTCTCTCTTTCCTTGGGGTCCAAAAACATTTTCGTGGAGGGTCAGGCAGTAAATATGTTAGACACTGAGGGCCCTCTGGTCTCTGGTGCAAGCTTACGTTCTGCTGTCGTAATACAAAAATAGCCAGAGATGATCCTTAATGGATATGTGTGCCTGTGCTCCAATATGACTTTATTTACAAAAACAGGTAAAGGGCCTGATAAGCCGGTGGGCTATGGTTTGCAAACCCTGCTCTATCTCACCCTCTAGCCACTGCTGTCACCTCACCACCTGTCATCCACCCCCAACTCCCACCTCCCAACCAGGCATATCCATTTATTGTCCTATCTCCTCTTCCATAAAGTATAGGATGATCTTTAGGGCTTGCTTATGTCTAAAACCTTGTCACGCTGGTCAAAAATCAGGAGTGAGCTTCAAAGGCACTGTACTCACCAACTTTAGGGATGTGTTGGACCGAAAATTTGAGCGTGTATCTCTTTGGGTTATAGTGGAGCTATTTAGCCATATCTTGCAGAACCCAAATAGGATCTGAATCTCTTGGACTCAGAGGCCTGAGAAAGATGAATCCACTGAGAGCATGATTGGGCATGGGAGGCCAGGACACTTGCAGGGAACTTCAGAGGACCAAGAACACCTCCAGTTACAATTAGGCTGTGTGGCTTAATGAGGATGTCCATTTTTATGTTGCATTGATCCTAATGCTGTGTAGTCTTGGACAAATCACAACCTTTCTGAGTATTGCTTTGCATCTGTAGAGTATGGATAGTACCTACCTCCTAGGGGACAGGACAGATGAAGTGCTATTTGTTCAGTACATAGCACAGATCTGGTCAATCAACAGCAGTATCTCCTCTTAGCAGTGCGTGTTCTCAGACCTCAGAAGAGTCTGAGCTGGCTGTTCCCATCTAAACTGGGAACACACAGAGAATCCCACAGAGGATAGATTCCCAGGAGCAGCTGCTTGCTGCCCCAGGAGGCTCTTGGTTCTATTTGTTCCTGCTGACTCCAACAGGTCATTAAAAGATGGGCAGTGCACACATGGATAGAAGGCTCCAGGACACGCTGAAGGACTTTGGATGTGGAGGCTGATTGATTTATTCCATCCGACCTTAGCCAAGAGAACAAAGAGAGGGTGCGTGACCCGCATGCTAATGCCCACAGCTCCTCCCTTCCCTCCCTCCGTGAGCCAGCTTTAAGAGGTGGCAACAACTGTGCATGCGGAGTCACCAAGGAGAGATGTCACACGTCAGCACAGGCCAAATGCACTCCTTAGAGGGGAGGTTTCCCCAGACCAAGACCCAGCCGGACTCCAGCTTCCTGCATAGAATCGAATTGCAGATTCACCCTCGGAATAATATTGGGGTTATTGTCATGCTAAGGTTTCAAGAATCCCCCACCTTCTGAGAGACCCACTCTGTGGCCCAATTTAAGTCAGAATGGTTTATAAATAAATAGGTCGAGTTACCATTTCAACATTCTTCTGAAAAAAACAACATCCACAACAAAAATCAACAGCCATTATTAACCCTAAAGTTGATGCTTTAAAATCCAGCATGTAATAACTTTCTTCCAAGGAATATTATCTACATCTCTTAAAGAAAATAAATGAGCACTAAATAAGTCCATCTCAGAAAAGATTCATAATAAGTTGTTAAGTGAAGTAAAGCAATTTGAATAGGAATGTATGTTATATAATTTTATTTGTGTTTAAAAAAAAGTAAAGGCCAACACAGTGGCACATGCCTGGAATCCCAGTGGCTTGGGAGGCTGAGACAGGAGGATTGTGACTTCAAAGCCAGTCTTGGCAATTTGGTGAGGCCCTAAGCAATTTAATGAGACCCCATTTCAAAATAAAAATTAAAAAGAGCTGGGAATGTGGCTCAGTGATCAAGTGCCCCTGAGTTCAATCCCTATACCTCCATCTAAAAAAAATATTGAAAGTGCTAAACAGGTGGCTCAGTAAAATACCCCTGGGTTCAATCCTCAAGGCTGAGGGGAAAAAAAAAAAAAAAGTTAAAGGTGGAGAAATAAACCCTGTAGTGTGTATTGTTGTATCTAAAGATGCAAGAAGCTTGAAAGGGCAGGCACCAAACTGGTAATACTGATTATTTGACAGGACAGGGGTCTAGTTTAAGAAGAGAGGGAGCTTAACTTTTTCTGTCATACCTCTTTTTCTTTATACCTTTGCATATATTTAACTTGCTACAACAAACATGTATCACGTCTGTAATTAAAAAGTTGCAAAGGAAAATGACATTTTTGTCCGGTAGGTGCACTCAAGGCACATTCCATTTACTGGACTATCCAGATGGCAAGATCTCTAGGGACTGAGTTGTAAGTGTACATCCAGCATGCCTTGCCAGTTACCTCCTCTCACTCCAAGAGGATCAGCCCCAGAGGACTCATCTGTGTTTCTGTGCCCAGGGGTCTCTGCCTGTGACAAGACCTTATAACGAATGTGAGCATTTCTCCCGGTTTTAACGTCTGCTTCGGTAAATCATGGCAAAGCTCTCCTCCCTTCCTGTCAACAGGAGCCCCATCCAGAGTACGTGCCTTGGTGATCTGATGCTGGGGGACAGCAGCCAGGTCCAGGGACAGCTGCAGCCCAGAATGGGAAGGAGGCCCTTGGTACCACATATCCATGCAGCAATTTCATTTGGCTATGGAGGCAACTTGGTATCTGGAGGCGTGTGGATAATAGTGAAAATATTTCCCTAGGAATTGTGGATGACCAAACGCACTAAAGTAGAAAGTTTACCCAGAGCTTCAGTATTGCTTGCTGGATTCCTTCCTCCTGCCCTTCCTCCTTTCCTTCCTTTATTCCTTCCTTCCTCCTTCCCGATTTTCTGTGTATATGTGTATGTGTTTGTGTACCCCTCTCTCTTTGGATTTAGTCTCTAAGGCATATGGCAAGGGAACTAGGAATATATTTCTAAATGACAAGCCTATCAGTCATGTATTTAGTGCTCACAGTGGGCCAGACAGTGCTACAGATTTGTATTAAAGACATGCTAGCTGCTATGACAAATAGACCCCCAACTCTTGGTGGCTTAACAGAACAACTTATCTTTTTGCATTTATTATAGTTTAATTCAGATTGATAGAGTCCATGCA